ATTATTTTATTTTGTTAGCAAGTGTGAAATTGATTTAATTTTTTGTCCTTTATTATTATGTTGAATTAAACATTGGCCTTTACCCCAACTACCAGAAGACTACATTAATGACAAATAGGGGAATAAACACACTTTTACATATATTCACACTTAAAGAATATACTTATTTAAATGTATTATATATTAATTTTTGTACTAATAAAGGATATATAATTTCATTTCATAATGTTTAATTGTTGGAAATAAATTCTTAACTCAGGTTATTACTGCTCAGTATTTTATTATATAATCTTTTTTTTTTTTCTTCAAAAAACCGTTTCGTTAAATTTCATTCAAAGTTTAATTTAAAGCTTGAGCGATCTTGACACCAGTAGTTCTTTAAATTATAACACGATGAAGTTGCCAACTAAATTAGAAAAGCTTTGCAACAATTCCAAAAAGTTTACAGCTCTTAATTTAAAAATAGGTAGGCATATCCCAGTGACTTTTTGTTTTTCCTAGTCTATACTAAGAAGATACCTGTGCCAAATTTCAGCTGACCTATTAACATGGATGTGGTTTAATTAATGGTCTTCTGTGTGGAATTGACATGGAATAACAGTGGTTCCTTCATCGATTCTAAGTGGTTAAGGTTTCTTATAAAATTCATCAAGTTTATCTTATTCTATCTGCTATTTCATATTATTTACTTTTAAAACTGGTTCGTCATTATATGAAAATGGATTAAAGTTGTTTATGTTTGTTGATCTCTATATTTTTTTATGCATAAATTAGATCATATCAATATATATTTAAGGTATTATTATTTGAAAAATTATTATTATAAAAGTTATTTGTTAACAAAATTATTGTCTGTTGTAATAAAATTATCTAATAAATTATTATATAAAACTACTTATAAATAATTTAAAAAATGTTAATTTATGCATTTTTTGATAAAAAAAAAATCATCTTTGGAGTCCCCAGGCGCTCCCACGTCTCCAGTTGCTATGCCGAGTTGAAGTGGCTCTATCCAGATTTCCGGTGACAATATTTCCTAGATGTATTCCTTTTCCAAACCTTCACAACCATAAAGTCATCGTCCCTTCTTGATTTGTTTACTCCTTGTTCCTCTGTTCATTCGTTTAACATGAGATCCCAGTCCATAAACCTGTTTGTTCCCTCTCGTAGAACAGTTTCCTCTAAAAAATCATTTATCGTGCATGTTATCTATTTTTTAGAATTCCCTGCCTATCTTAATATGCAAATCCTCTTCCTTAACCTCATTTATTCTTCCACCTCTTCAGCAATCAATCTTCCGAGTACATGTAAGAATAACATTTCGTATTAAAGAGCTGTCACTCTCATTTGACTGCTACTTACATATCATCGATATTGTTAATCAGAACAAATATGGGAACAAACTCATTTATATTTATGTACATATTTATATAATATAGTATGTTTATTCGTACTTAATTTATTTTAATTATAAGGTTAGATTATTATATCATGTTAGCTAAAATTTTCCTTTTTTTTTTATAATGCCAGACAATTTTCATCTTTTTGTTTATTATAATTATTCTACAGGGACTAAATGTTCCAAAATACAATTTAATTTTCTTCTTCTCAAGATCCCAAGAAACCCTTGTTGCTAATTTCAGTCTATTCGTACTTTGTAGAGCATGATTGTAAACGTTTTCTGTGTCTATTCCACTTCTTTTTCCGGTTATAAAGTACCCCTAAATATTCTGTGTCACACTGTTTTATTTGTAAACAATTTAATCTTATTCTTAAATTTGGTGTAGTCTGTGTTCCTGAAAAAATTATAAATTTTGTTTTCTGTGGATTGAAAGGAAGTTTATTACTGTTAATCCACCTTGTTAGGGCCAGTTGCTCCAACTCAGTAAAGCTTAAGCGTTATCTAAGATTAAACCAAGTTTAAATTTTGAATGGTCGACAGTAGTCGCGTAAGCTTTACTTTGAAGAAAAACTTAGTCAACTAGCGTTACCCTTGGCAACCATGATAACCTTCCAGTGTTTTTGCAGTATCCTTTATGTTAATCATTTTTATTTATCTTTTCTCTTGCAAAATATAAATAAATGCTAGATATATAATGGGATATGCTAGATTTTGACGACCTCGCAGATGACGAGGATTTCCTAGTTTTAATTGCATTTTTAATAATGGAGAAAAAAGTATATCGTCCTTGGGTGAATCATTTACTCCATTGTTGTGATCGATATTTTTTTATAACTAACACAAATTAATTTGTTTGACTTTCGTTAAGTGAAAACTTGACGTTGAGAAGCTTACATCATAAAACCTATTATTAACCTATTTCTCGGTTTAGATTCAACTTTTTACCAATGACCGAAAGTGGTGATTAAAGAGCTGAGCAGTTACTAGATTAAGCTCAGATAACTAAATCTAGGTTAAAACCGTGAATTGTGTAATTGCCCTTAGTCTGAATAGAACTAGGTTTGTTGGATTAGCAATAGGACATTGTCTGTGTATGCAATTCATTTAATATTTGCAGGTAATTCTGTTTGGAATATAGTATTTATTAACAATTGTGGGTAAATGGTTGACTGTCGTAAATAATGAAGAGAAAAATAGTTGGGCTGATCAGTCAAATAAGAAGGCAAAAATAAATGATAATTTATTTTGACATTTGCCGACGTTTCGACCTGAAATTCAGGCCTTCATCAGGGCTAAGAAAAGAACCAGATAACGAGGTATGAAAAACATAAGAGCGTAGGTAAAAAATTAAAGTAAGATGAAGATGTTAGAATAATGGCAATAGTAAGAACTAAGAGATAAATAATAATAACCATTACAAAGTGTTGAATGATGAAGTTAACATAATCAAAAAAGGTGACATAAGTATTAAAATGGGAATCTTAGAATAAAATGTAAAACAGAAAAGAATATGAAGTTATATAAGAAATATAAAAAATAAGTATTAATTAACATTTTTCATATTACAGGAGATGAACTAGAGCCTTGTTTGTTCCGTTTACTCAATTTTTTACCAATTGTGAACGCGTTCGTATCATTAATTTTGAATAGAAACAGCTGGTTTTGTTCACAGTATTTTATTATTGTTGTTATTTACAAACCAAAAAGAGATGGCAAGGATCTGAAAACGAGAATCCTTACCATCTTTTTCTTGTCTTCTATATTGTTAATTAACTGTGTACAATATCTAAGTTGTTTCTGTTGATATTACATCTCATCATTTCCTACTTACTGGTTTATGAAATTTAAATACTTGTTATTTCATTCTAATTTCAAACTTGTCATCTTAATTATTCTATAGTTATCATTATTTAGTTTATTTTACTTCTACTGAACTTATTATGTCATCATCTTACAACAATTACCACATCTTATTTATTCTCAGCCCTGCAACTTGGCACAAAATAAAATAAAAATCTATTTATTTTTATTTGTGTTCTCTCCCACTGCATATTCCCCAAACATATAGTGTACAGTCAAAAATTTTTCCACCTTATAAATTTTTACTTTCACTTACATATATAGTAAGGGTAAGTATTGTGATCGTGAAAATTTTTGAATCTGTTTTCAACGGAAATACATGTTTTGAGGTTCTCTGAGTTCAAATAACCAAGTTTCGCAAAATGTTCTGTGTTTATGTGTAACAGTCTACCTCATAAACGAAAAGTAGTACATAACTGATATTAAGTATTTAAGGTTTTAATATGGGCCGGATGTGACAGCAACTTTTTCGTTAAAATCGGCTAACCGGAAGTGCCACTACTTTATATGAACGCTGAAACACATTTTTACAATTTTCTCAAAAACAAATAACGTTTTTAATCAAACTCTGTGTGTATTTTGGTTTTTTAACAGTTTATGGAATTTCCTAAAAAAACAAAAAAAAAAAATGGTTAAAATCGGACAATTAGGAGGAAAGATATGGTCTCTAGGTTTTTTCCAAGAGGTGAAAATTTGGATAAATTTAAAATATATTTTTTTAATTGTAGAGACTAAAATATAACCTCTTTTCTACAGATATTTAATAAAGTGTCTTTCCTAAGGACATCTTTCATAAGAAATAAGTACCTAAATTTATACCTTTATTCTCAGTTCTATATTTCAACACTGCAATCACCACCTCTGGAATCAACTTACTCATTGTCTGCATAGATAAATTTTTCAACTAAAAATATCACTAAAATGACATCACTTAAAAATAAGGAAATTAGAGTTTGTCATTCTGAGGTTTATAAAAGCAGATGGAGTGACTAGATTTTTATTGCCTGTCGTTGATATATTAAATAGACATTTTGTAATTATAATGGTTTTAATGACTTGTTATCTGTAAGTTTTAAGCTTTAGCTCCGTTTGAAATGGACTTCAAAAATTTTTATAATAGTCCAGCATTACCAGAAAATAATTTCTATTCAAAGTAGATCGGTAAGTGAAAGTTGTGTGGTGCGCGCACCAGATTTTTTTATATATATACATATATTTCCTAATTATCTTCAACACAATCCTCACTTATATATATAATTTATTTTTTCTTCTCCTAATCTTTACGCATAATCACTTAAATATCTTGGGGAACATATGTATATCATTTTTTTTTTTTCATATAATAACAGTTATTATTGTTTATATTCCATCACTACAATGCTTTGCCTATAAAATTGATTTTGCGTTCCTTTCTAATTTCATTTAATGATTATTATGCTATTGTTTTAGCTCCAATATTGTAGTATTGAACACCTATTACCCAACTGGTCTCGTTAATTTATCCCAAGAGCTATTATACTTAATTTATTACTAGTAGTTTTGGCCAGATTTATGGTTAATTTATATGAACAATACTGTTATTCTAAAGCGACCTAGTCCCAGAATAAAGATGATATTTCTATGTCTATATAAATAGAACCTTTAATAAAAATCACACAGTATTTTAGCCAGGTCTAGATAAAGGTAAAAATAAATTCAATTATACAGAGGATTAAAATAGGTAACGTAGAATATACATTTTTTTTTTAAAAAAGTACTTTTATTTTCCAATACAAGAAACATTTTTTAAAATAGTCTAAACCTCTTAAGTTCAAAATAACAAAAACTATCAATCTTTTTAAAAAGAAAACAAATTATAATTATATACAAGATAGCTTTAGATAATTATAATCTAGATTGTTTTAGAACAAGTAGAAACACATTTAATGTGTAGTTTTACAATGTTCCTCGTCTCTTAAAGCTCGATAATAATTCAATGTATCACTTACTGAAATATCACAGAGAGTACATTTCACAAAGGTTATTATTTAATATATTGTGTAAATAAAATAATCATTGCGTATATATAGGAACATAGAACTGAAAACTACCATTTATTGTGATGAACACAAAAATAATCTAGAAATTAAAAAAAATATGCATATAATCCCTGGTTTCATAGTAAAAATTTCTTGTAACTAGTGCGTTATCTAATAATAATAATTTATAAAAAACAAAACAAAAAATAAGTACAGACAGGAAGCCTCAGTCTTTGATTAATAAAAATGAACAAGAATGGATAAGCTTAGTAACTCTTCGAAGCTCCCTCAGTCATAGCTTTTTATATTAAAAATAACGTTCATTCATTAAATCACCACGCTTCTTCAACTTCTTCATGGACGACAGTCGGTGGGGAATTGAATATATCCTGTAAATAAAAAAATTGAAGTAAAATATCTAAACAATGTAGGGTTTTAAAATGATTCATTAGAACGTAAATAAATAAGGAGAGAAATAAATTATCGATAGTGAATGTTAAATTCGCACTAGAAGCTTGGAGTATTCAAATTTAACAAACAATTTTTATTATAACTCATATCTTATAAGAAAATAAAAAGATATTTTATTGGCACTTACAGAACTTGAAGCGTGCCAAATTAGAAAATATTACGAAATTAAAGGATGTTCTCAGGAAAAATAAGAATAAAAATTTTGTTTACAGTTTGATTAAAACATATTTCATTAACTGACAAAAAAAAAAAATTAATTTAATTTTTACTTACTTCGCCTTGCCTAACATCTTTTCCACCGAAATTCTGAGACCTGCGACCGCCACCGCCACTTTTGAAACTTGGTGACGAATCATTAGCACCTTCGAAAAATGTTGGAATCACCTGGTCATTCTAAGAAAAAAACAAAAAAAAATTTTATTTGGTTGAAGTCACAACTGCCTTCATTACAATCTGTTATTAACGCATACTAAAATTTGAAAACTTTTATCTACATGGTAAAAATAAAAATTAAAACTAATTATCAATATTAACACTTTCATTATTCACTAGTTTGGGCACCAAATATTTAAATATTACAAATTCCATTTGATCCATGCCTAATTTAATAATTTTATCTCTTTCAGATATTTTTTTTTTTAACTTAACAATCTATTGATTATTATGGGTGACAAATAGTAAGGACGCATTCACTTTTTTATTGTATCCAACATTTCAACCTGAGTTGTTCAGTGCCGGCTGGTAACATGCCCTGATGATGACCCACAAGCTTGGGTTGAAACGTCGGTATCAATAAAAATCTAAAAAAAACTGACTATTTACCATCCATCATCATGACTATTTATCATGATATGTAGAACAGTTGACTATCTTCTTTCAACAATTTACTGATCATTGTTTTCAAGGAATTAAACTTCAAATTATTATTTTAAAATACAATCCTTATAGAAGACCTCATATATACAAATACAAAATATAATATAATAAAATCGGATACAAAAATAACTGATACTTGACAAAACTATACGCACCGATGACAGCGCTATTCTGAAGAATTCATAACCACCGGAGCTTTATTAGTTTGTAGCCCTCTAATAACAAACTAAGATCATTCAGATGAATATCATTGGTATCCAAAACTATTATAATATTAGAGTCCGGTTATAACGCCCGTAATTAACTTTAATTTTACTAAGTCTTAATACCGTGTATCAACTACTAACTTACCACATTTTATCAATATTGAGGTTCATGTTTAAGGGTTATGGTCATAATAGGTGCTTTTTGTAAAATTACTATAGATTTTTCCGTCACGTATGAATATTATATGTTACAACTCTTCTATATAAGGGTCCATTATTATACTAACAGGAATTTTTTTTTTTGGAAATGCTGAATATTTTAAGATTACACACTCACAAGCAATCTTTATAATGACAATCTTTATTTAAAATCTACACCTTTATTGATTCAATAATGAATCCGAGTATAAAAAAACTGCAATATGTTTGAACATTCCTTCATTTAATTTTCAGTAATGTGTTGAGTAATGAAAATTCCAAACTTTCGATTCTCCTCCCTTTTTTTCCATAATCATGATATTTATACTTGACACACTATGCACAGGTTTATTGGTTATTCAAATAAAATGTGACTTAAACTCCAAAAAACACCTGACTACGAATTTTCAGATCAGCCATGCACTTAACTTTATTTAATAAAAAAAACACGTACGTACACATTACACATTCTGTACCTCAAGGATCCTCATCCTAGTTTTAGTACAACATACATACATAAATTTGTATACATTTGCTTTGTACAATTCATCTTCGGGATCCCAAGGAATGCCTTTGTTTCCCGTTTTTATGCAGAGTTGAAGTGCCTTTATCCTAATTATTTAATATTTCCTGGCATCCTTTCTTTTCCAACTCATCCAATCCCACCGACCTTCATACATCTCCGAGCTCCTTCAATTCAAATCCTCTGTTCGTTCCCGGTCTTATGATGTATATATAAGGGCCTACCGAACCGCTGCTTTGACAGATTGTTCATTATCCGATCCTCATCCCTATGGAACTCCATCCCTTACCACATCCGTCAAACCAATACCCTTCCTACCTTTGAATTCCGCCTGTTCAATCATTTCTTATCCATCCAGTCCCCATGAAATGATACTACTGTAAATATATATATATAAATTATTAGTTCGTTCTTCATTATTTTTACACTTCATATATATTTTTTTTTATATGAGTGTTTAATTACTCTGTATTTTTGGTTATGTATCTCTGAGGCTCCTTAGAGCACATTTCTGTATTATTGTAAAGCGACTCGTCCCAGAATAAATAAAGTATTATTATTATTAAATAAATAAATATATGTGGCCTCATATCAAAGACGGACATCTGTCACTGTTAAAAAGTTGAGAAAAATCCAATTTTATGTAATATAGCTTCAATTTAGACTAATTCTAATGATTTTTTTTTTAACGAAAACTTCTTTACTTCGCGTTTTGCACTTTTTGGTAGAGTGAATTAAGATTGATCTATCACATTTCCGAAGTGTTAACGCTCGGGTAGTCGACTAATTGAATTGTTGTTTTTACATATAGATTAAAATATTTAACACTAAAAATTGGACCTGCATACAGTGTGCAAGGAAATTGTTCAGAATTTCATCCCCTCTGTAATAAGCTATAATTCAAAATTGTATCTTGATGCGATGTGGTGATAGGGAGGCGAAAAGGAAAAAATTGTGTCGAAAACCAAATAAGGTTAGTTGAACATATGGATTAAAACATTCAGCATTTCATCTTCTTGGTAATGAGCTATTATTTATAATTTGAATTTCATATTATTAATCTCGCCTTGTTGATGTTTTCATTTATATAGTGTGGTCTAAAGCACACACTTAAGTTTTTTTTATCAGTCAGCTTGAATATTCTTAAATAAATTTGTATACATTGGTTTGTACGATTCATTTCGTATCAGAAACAATTTAATTTGAACCTATAAAACGAAAATTTATTATAAGTGTCTGAAAATGGCAGATGTCCACCTTTGATGTGAAGCCACTCATATTTATTTGCACGCAACATATTCAGCTTAACAAGCACTGCTAAAAAATGACTTGAAAAAATTGATTAACTTACTTGTTGGAGGATTCTAGTGAGACCGATAACCAAGTGTCCGTCGGTATCGGGGTCATAAAATGAAGTAGCTTTTCCTCGGTTACCGACCCTTCCTGTTCGACCAATTCGGTGAACGTATTCTTCAATTGTAGAAGGCATATCGAAATTTACTACGTGTGCAACATTTTTTATATCTACAAAAAAACAAATTTCATAAATAAGCCTAAAAATTGAAAAATGTCTACAAAAATATAAACCTCTTAAAACAAGTTCACTAACCTAAACCTCTTGCTGCCACAGCGGTCGCTACCAACGTTGGCATTCGACCGTATTTGAAATCAGACAGGGCCTGTTCTCGCTGGCTCTGTAACCTTGCGCCGTGTATCGAAGTAGTAGGAAAATTATTCTCTGATAAAAAGGCCGCGATGAAATCAGCCGTACGTTGCTTCTCAACGAATACAAGGGTTAATTCTTTATCTGAAAGAAATAATTAATCTGTAATCAATACACAATTGATAAAATTATTTTATATTACTTAAGAAAAAATAATAATCCATAAAATAAATTACCAATATCTTGTTTTAAATATTTAATAGTTGGAAACGAAACTTCAGTGCAATAGTTAACAAATACTGACATTTTATGAGATAACATGTTTCCAAATATCAGAGAAACAGTCCATACCTGGTCAGTAATTGTGTAAATACTTTTACCAACTAATTGTTAAACTATAAATATTGGCTGTTACAGCAAATCTGTTCTTATAGGATTAAGTATTAGCAATTGAGCATTGAGAACAGCAATGAAAGTATTTTTTCTTTAATACTCCTATACAATATTTCCATATAAATATAACTAATTTCTTTATAAAACTAAGTCCCACCTCACTTGAGAACTGTATTTTTGTATGGAATAAGATAAATTAAACAACAACATTGTTAATCTTTGCTTTCAAAATATACAAATAGATGCACAGAAGAAGAGAAATAAACTAAAGACAATTACGAATCTAAATTTTAAGAAATACATAACAATTAACATTAAAACTTTAACTATTATATATTATTACCTTTCATTTCAGATAGTACTTCAATAAGTTTATCCTTCTTCTCAAACCTAGAAACTAAATAAAAATTTTGTTCGACGTCTGAACAAGCGCCACCAACAATCCCTACAGCAAGAAATAAATACCCATGCAAATAATTCGCGGCTAATCGTTGAATGTCATCTGGAAAAGTTGCGGAGAACATAAGAGTCTGTCGTTGGCCCTAAAATTTAAGATTAACATTATTGTCGGATATATTGACAAAGTAAAGAAAAAAAATAAAAATATAATTCCATTAATATACCTTAGGGGTCATTGTTTCGTGATCTAGCATTTGTTCAATCGCTGGCAAAAATCCCATATCGAGCATTCTATCAGCTTCATCCAATACGAAAAACCTACAAGAAGAGAACTTGACCAGCCCACGACCTACGAAGTCGTTCAGTCTTCCTGGTGTAGCAACAAGTATATGACATCCTTTCTAAAATTAAAATATTATTTACATTAAATAGAAAATTATTAAAAAGAGATATTATTGAATAAAATCAATACAATTGATAAGAAATTAAAACACAAAATAAAATTTGACAGTCCATCTACTATGATAATTAACTATTCGCAATATCGATAATGAATATAGGATATGTGGCTAATATACCTCTCCATTTAATTATATTATATTAATTACAATCTTTGATAATTTCATAAAATTGTATTAACATCCGTAGGTATTCTGCCGGTTACATGGACACAAATATACATTTTAAAAACTTATCTAACATCCCATTCCACATGTTCACATCCAATATATGCCTAACAAATAGATACATTAATCTCTATTAAATTTGATACAAAACCATTTGTTCACTATTCCTTGAATTTCCTCCAACTAAGAATTATTTATGGAATAGAGAATATGTGTTTACAGACGAGAGAAAGTTTTATTTTTAAAGTAGCCTAGACAGAATTCGAGCACAGGACAGAGAGAAGGGGAGAATAAAAATGTTATTTTTTAGGGCTATAGAATAGGATGAAATTTAAACTTACTTAAATTATTTCTACAAGCCCTAGCTTTTCCCTCAAACTTGGGGCTAAATCTGACATCCAGTTTTTGAGATATATAGGCGTATCAAGGAAAATGACGCGGTGCATATTTAAGAGAGAAGGATAGATGTAATTCAATAGAAGAATTGTAATAGCATTATTTTTCAGTAATTCTCCCCAACCATCCTCCAACACGGAGTCAAATTAAGTAAAATATATACATCATAAACAGGGACTAAGGTAACTCAGCACTGACTTCCAGAGCTCAAGGTCCAAGGTTTGAATCCGGCCGATGACCTGTAATTCTTCAAATCAACCCTGGAGTAGGAGAGAAAATGCTAAACGTTTGAAAAGAACAGTTCTTGAACTCAAACGAATGAGCTGTTCTTCTAAACGGACAACAACAGTTGTTTTCTTTAGTTCACTACTAGTGGAGTTGCTGTTTGATGTTTCGTTTTTTTCAAACTTTCTGTTTTCTAACTAATCTATCAGTTTATCATAAAAATAACCCAACAGTTTTTTTTTTTATAAGACACATTTCAACAGTTATGTTTAGGAATGTAATTTTTAGCTCCCAATATTAATGAAGGCTAGGAATAAATAAAAACTTTCATTATAGTTACTACATTACTAAATTAACTGAAGCATATTTGTAGGCAAAATTAGTTTATGTTTTTCGATGTATCTAAATATATTAGTGTCTTGCAGACCGAAAGGATGTCATCAATAAACTCGTTTAACGATATCCCCACTGTATATTTATTGCCAATTAGAAAAAAAATTTCTTGACTTCCTATTTTTCAGGCCGGTCGCCACCCTGTATCACTAGCTGATCCAGGATTTAATTTTGAGGGGGGGGGGCTTCAGCCCGAAGGATTTTTATATATATATAAAATGATAATTAACTTGAAAAAAAAAATAAAGATACTAACTACCTATATGACATGGTGTTTTAGTGATCCTTGAAGTCCTATTAAATGTAATTACGAACAATAATAGTTTAAGAGACAGTTTTTAATATTTTTTCCTGTAAAACATGGTTATATTTTACCATTTTGGAGGGCTTCAGCCCGAACCCCCCCCTCCCGTAAATCCACCTGTGCCCTGTATTAGATATAATCGGTTTCAAGTTTCATAATAATTCTCAACTTTACAGCAGATGAGAACAATGAACAATGTTTTACTCCACGATCACCATTACGATAGATTTTTCAAACCAAATAGTTTTGATTTTTTTTTTTTGCATTTTTACATATCTGAATTACAATAGCTCATTATGAGTAATAAATTGTTTACACTTATTTGTGAGGCTTGATGAAATGATGCAGTGCCACCATAGGCGATGGCGATTCTTATTATCGAGCCAAATGCAAACTTTCTAGCTTCGTTGAATATTTGCAGAGCCAGTTCTCGGGTCGGAGAGCACACGACCACCTGCGGTTCCGTGCCCTGTCCGCTCACTATATCAGCTTTATCTTTCAAGAGCATGTGGATGATTGGTAGCAGGAACGCGGCCTGATAAAATAAAAATAAATAAATAATTTCATAATGAACTTTTGATAAGATATTTTTATGAAATGATTTTTACTCACCGTCTTTCCCGAACCTGTTTGAGCACAACCCATCACATCTCTTCCGCTATTAATAGCAGAGATGGCATACTTTTGAACCGGAGTCGGTTTACTGTAACCAGATTTCTTGATATTCTCTAGAAGTAAACTTGAGAAATTACATTCTTCAAAAGAGTTGACAGGCTTTGGAACATTCTCACCAGTAACCTGAAACGGGAAAGACATTTTCTACATTTTATCCACGGTAAACTATTTACTATTTATGAGCATGATATAACAGATATAAATATTAATAGGCTGAAAAACATATTTTTGAATAAATAAATAAACGGAGGTGATTTTTCTGGAAATGTCGAGGATTATTTTAATTTCTGAAACCCATTTAATGAAAAATATATGAAGAATCTTCCAAATTATTAATTCGTATAAAATTTGGGCACAATTTTATCTAAAACCTTTTATATTTATATGCAGGGCCTAGGCTTTCTCGAATCGCTACTTCAAGATCACTTAGGCACATTGAATTGGAATTCTGAAACAACTTAAGTATAACTGAAATTAGAAGAGGACCACAACAATTACCAAAACTCTCGTAACAAATTGTTTGGTTAGGTTAAGTCAGTATTTATTTCTGAATAACAGCATTAATCACCTTAATAATATGTTTGTCAAGACTTACAACTTCTACCTAGGAATGAAATATTAAAATATATACATAATTTTTCTGTTTTTAACTAATGATAATAAAAATTCTTGTTTTCTTTCGGATTACTAAGCACATTGCCACATAATCGGTATTAATATTTTCTTTCAATATTAACCAATATGGTATCACAAGATGGGATTTGATATTTTCGTTACATATCGAAAGAATAATGCCAATATTGTAAGTTATATATATTTTTTTCAAATGTTAAAATAAATATTTTAAATTAAATACAATTTTTAAAAAATCAATTATTTAAATATGTTTATTCAAGTAAGAGCATTTAACAAAAACTTGTATGTAAAATAAACTACTGCAAACTTTACGATTTGGTACCAATCATTCTTCTTTTAACAGTATTAATTTAATGAAATAGTGATTTAATGTTTTGATTTTAACATATTCATGAACAAAACAAAGGTCAAAACCATTTATTAAATTAACATGAAGATGTCTTACAGAAATTTAACTTTCAACTGTTGTTTATTATGCTCGATATCAAAGGTAATAACTATTAATGAATATCAAAGCTAACATTTGTATTTATACTGATTGCATTTTGAACATTGGTCAGAAATTTCGGAAATGCTCTGCAGAACTTGATAACAAGACGGAGATATGACTAAAGTTTCAGATAAGTAGAAATTTATAATCGAGCGTGTTTTCGGTTATGATAAACAAATTTTTATGCTCTCTAATTTTTTAGATAAATTTTAAGAAAATAAATACATTTTGAGGACAATAAATAATCAGGATTTATAGTCTTAAGTATGGTTTATAAATCCTCATAATTCTAATTATCAACTATATATATACATTTATAAATAAATTTAATATTTTAGGCAAAAATACGTCATTGATAAATGTCTCTCATCTGAATTATGGACATGATTATCAATATACGGGCACTGCCACTTTTGGCTTTCCATTTACAGTGTGCTAGAAGTGATCTTGAAACCAGCCAATGTTGGAATAGGGATTCAGAATCAGTAGCGATGTCCATTCACGAAGAACAACTTTAATACATCTAAGGCATTATTATTAATCTGGATAAAGTCATCATTTTAGGGTGCATCATTCCTTGAGAATACTACTAATTGGATTGCAGATTAAACAAATAAAGGGCTAAAGAACTAGCAAACGATCCATAGAAGAACGTTACCTAACCTAACAGGCTCTCTTTAGTGTTATTTTGTTTTAAATTACAATATATCAAAAATAGGATTTGATGTTGATAAAGGTACTTACCTTGACTGGAATGTTGTCATATTTGCTGAAGTTGTTGCCGCTGGAAATGGAGCTGCTAAACACAGTTTCTTCATCGTTGGCAGGCTCAGGAGGAATATACCGTTCTCTCGGCTTTTCTTCTTCCCCCTCTTCCTTATTTCCTCTATCATCATCTCCACGATTGCCAAAACCGCCACGACCTCCTCCTCTTCCTCCACGACCCCTCCGCCCATCTGACTGGTCCCCATCGTCGTTTCTGCTATACCTGTTCCCCCTACCTCTACTTTTACCTTCATCGTCATCACAGTCACCATTGTCTCCAAAATCATTTCTCGATTCTCTATGACCTCCCCGCCCGCCTCCTCTGTACCCTCCTCTACCACGACCCGATCGCCTCTCTCCTCCGTCATTACCTCTTCCTGAATCTTCATCATTCCAACCGTCCCCGCCGCCAAAGCTCGATCGCTCTTGTCTTTGGTAACCACCGTCTTCTCCCCTGCTTTGCCTATTGAACCCTCTGTCTTTCCCACTGCTATTTTCTCTGATGTTCAACTTATTCATGTCAGGTTCCCACTCATCATTATTTTCATCTTCATTATCGTTATTTCTAAAACTAAACCCACGCCCTCTGCTACCTCCTCTCCTATCTCCGGGGGAACCAAAAGTCCTTTCTTGTCTTTGGTAATTACCACTATCTTCTGTTCTATTTTGCCTACTGAAACCTCTACCTCTTGAACTTGTTTCATTATTTTCCCACTCATCACTTGCCTGTCCACCACCATACTTGTTACCCTTGTTTCCCCATTTTGGTTCAGATGAACCCTGGTCTTCCCCGTCACTCCAGCCGTCTTGACTTTTATTCTTTGTATAACCACCTCCTCCGCTGCGACTGGAATTTTGAGTGTAGTCCCTTCCTCCTCCACGGCTTCTGCCTCCGCTTTGATGACTTCCTCTCCATCCTCCGTCTTCCTGGTCGTCTCTATAACCTAAAATACAGAAAACCATGAGTATGGAGGGAGAGCTAAAGGATAACTTTTAAAATGATATTATAAATGAATATTCATTTTTGCTTATATTATTCTACCTTAACCACAAAAATATACATGAATTGTCATGGAAGACAGCAGATTGAGGGTGGTAATGATAAACAGTTCAAATAAAATACACATATATACTTAAAATCTAACTTGATATTAATAAATAACTTCTGGAAATGAAAGTTTGAAATGTGTATAGAGTATTTTACATTAAATGTATGACAACAGGAGACTTGTAATCAGTTTATAATAATATTAAATTTCCTATAGCTTTTATTTATTTATTTTAACATTTTAAGCCCCCTAGCAAATTAGATGAATTAGGCATTGACTGCGAGTTTGCTTGATTAACATAATTTAGTTATTGTTGTAGGAGTAGTTTCCTTGGCCATTTTCTTTTTAGTCTGCGTCGATCTGGTAACAGGGAGAAGAAAGAACAAGTGGATTTGGATGATTGAGAGTAGAAGAATGAAATTAAGTGTATTTGTCGTGGATGAACGATTTTACTGTTGGGATGTTTAAGCCATTATGTTTACAGCTTGAAAAAAAAAAAAAAAAAAAATATGAGCCCATTTTCTAAACTGAACTAGAATCTAATACAGATGACTTTCATCATTAGGCGCTACTCATTGATTACTTTAACAGCTGATCCGTTATAGGCAGATTATTGATCCACTGAACAAGTCAAAAATTGTTCTACCACCATCAGCTTACTGCTACTAGTCCTGAGCTAAGGTATCAAGATCCTTGAATCTTGTATATATCGGAAATATATAAGTCCTTAAAGCATCCAAGAGGACGTAGAGAAACTTTGATATGGAAAGCAATGGTCTACAAGTAAATTGAGATAAAACAAAATCTATTCCAACAGAACCTGCTTGGAAAGGGAATTGTTTCTGAGGAGACAAATTCATATAAATAATCTCCGGGAATGACCAATAGTCAAAAATAGATCAGTGTATAACAAGTGCAAACAGAGCTTTCTCCTCTCTTTCAAGGGCATACAATAATATGATAAAGATAGTTCTGATACATGGCTACAAAATCTGGACACTAACCAGCACCCCAGAAAGAAGTATTGAAAGAGTTGAGAGAAAAATTCTTTGAACGATAACTGGAGCAATCTGGGATCAGAGAACCAATGCAAGAAGGCGAGCGATAAAGAATTCCTAAGAGAAATTGGTCAATCGATAAGGCATGCAGCTTGGAGCAATACGGAATTATATAAGGTCAGTTAAGATAAATGGTTGCTAAACCTGGACACTGACCAGCACTCTAGAAAGATATGAGAGAAAAATCCTCGGAGCATTCTGGAATCAGATTACTAACACAAGGAGGAGTGAATTTTGCAGACATTAGGCAATCAATATCTCATGATATAAATTTATTATCAAGATGGAATCAAATCAACAAAAATGCTGTGAAGTAGCTTGGAGTTATAGCATGAAAGTTTGGGTAGTTGTTCCGGACACTCCTGGGAAGGTTTCTGGCATATTACTTCTCTTACGATAATTTTATATAAGTAAAAAAATAAAAATGTAAATGTTTTTCTGTTCAAAGCCGCAAAAAAATGTGTCGCTATAAACTGTAGCACCAAAACGGCTTTACCGATTTTAACGAAACTTGGCTAAAGTCTTCCCCTTGAAACCCTTTTAATTTATGTGTATAACATACTTTCCCGAAAACAAGCTGAAAAATATTACGATGAATTCAATATTTTATTTGACGATAACTAAAAAAGTACAGAATTTTTTACTGATAATACTACCATATTTATATGAAAGATTTCTGACAAAATAAAAAAAAAATCATCGAAATCGGAAGGTTCGTTGCTGAGTTATAGAGTTTTAAACATTTACTGCTTTCTCTTTAGAAAAGGCCATTTCTTTTTGCTTCCTCACTACCGAAGGAAGGCAAGCATTTTATTTTTTTATTTTTTATTGATTAATCAAAATTTTATAATTACTACAGTGATTGAAATTATCATTTGAAGTTATATGATTCTCCTTATGTAGGTCAAAACTATTATATGTTCTTTATATTATAGTTTTATAAGTTCAACTCTGACTGTTTCTGATGATTATGAATGATGGCGTATTCACACAGATGATTATGAATGTTCAATTTGAATCATGAGAAAAAAAATCATTAAAATTAATTTAAATCAACGGAAGGCAATAAAAATGTAAAAGTTTTTCTGTTCAAAGCCGCAAAAAAATGTGCCATTTTACAGACAAATTTGTTTCCCAACTTTTTAAAAATGACAGATGTCCTTTGCTATTAATCTACTCATATGTGCTTTCTATTTCCTTTCTTTTTCATTTTGCCAGGCTAAGCCACAGCAGCGCATGGCCGGGTAAAGCTAGTAAATCTATATAAAACCTAATCAATCACCGGACTTCAAATTATATCTGGCATATATTTAGCTATTGCAGTAGTACTTTTCAAGGGCACTCAATGTTCTTATATATGGTGTCTTTAAGTAACATATAACCCCTCATACTTTAAAATTTTTTATTCCACTTCAAACGTTCCGAGCTGATTAGGTCATTCTCAAGTCACCAACATTTTTTTTATCAACTAAAATATATTTCCATTTTATAATTTCATTGAACAACCATTTGTGGTACACCAAATACAAAAATAAGTACATTCCTTGTCTCCTAGTTAGCGCATTTATTGATGCTTGTCATTCCCGAAAACTCGGTACTACCTCCTACTATTGTTCAATATTGATTCATTAATGTTAGTAAAGAAATTATATATTCCTTAAAGACACTATATATATAAATAAATAAATTATCTAGCATTTTTCAGTCTGAATTTAACTTTTAAGTATTCTAACTTGCTAAGAGTCAGAACAAATAGACAAAAGGTACTAATTAATACATCTCAAGAATAGATGAAAAGTGGGTTAAGATCACAACAATCATAATGAAAACTGAATTCCGAAAGTAGCAGCGTTTACTCAAAGGGCAATCTCTTTATAGCTTCAGGCAGACTCAGCTAAATCCAGTATTCTATGGACATTTTGATAGATGTAATCTAGACCCACCTGTCTATCTGGAGAAACATTTATGAAAGAGTACTGATAAAAGAAGTGTAAGGATTAATTTTGGGATAAGCTTTCGTCTAAAACATTATTCACTGTTTTATGACTAACGAGTAGAGAACAGTTCCCTATAATTCATCAGTGAAAAGTTAATAAGATATTAAATACTGCATATAGAACTGTTAAATAGTAAAAATAATCATACAATAATTGTTCTAGGCACGATAAAATTCAAAAAATTTTAGTTGATAGATATATGTTTATGGAATATGAATGATTGCAAAAATAAAAGTACCACTAATAAAAAAAATATATTTAAGTTGTAAAAAACACATGATACTCTTCAGCAGTTAAAATAAATGACCATGACATAAAACCTATATACTTTAAGAACTTGTTGGTATAAGATCCAAAGTCCATTCTGTTTAGTAATGCAAATTTCTGATTCCCTAAAGTTGTTTAAAAATAACTATATATGCTTGATGCTTTATATATTCGTCCTTCAGAATAATCAGACAGGATATTTCAAGGCAACATATTTTTATGGAGTAACAAACATCAACTCTAATCATTATAATAGTAATGAATCAAAGCATTAAGAAGCAAAGGAACATCAATAATGAAATTCAATATTTATTTGTTTTATAGTTGATGTAGAATTATAAAAATATTTCTGATTCTCTGTCAGAGTGACTTTTAAAACAACAATATTAATAAGATTTTAATGTCATTTTGATATCCTGAAAACATAAAATCCTAACTCAATAGATAACCCTTGACTATTTACCTAATTTTCCCAACAAAGTTACTTTGAAAGATGACAGAATTAGTCATATCACAAACCAATGTAATTTTAGAGAATTAAGTTGTACTAAGTAAGCTACTGTGTTTCTTATACCCCAAACAATAAAAACAGAACAAATTCGATTAAAGCAATAGATAAAACAGATTAGGACAGAATGATCCGTTGAATCAATGCTCTATCAATGAATGATTAGCAACTGATATCAACTTGTGACAATCCATTTAAAATTATAAAAACCTAACTGGTTTTAAATATGGATGCCACAACTACAACGGTACAGAAGGTGCATCAATGGTTGACAGTGATTTACAACAATGTCAATGAACTTAAAGTACTTTGTGTGTATTGTTGACGTACCTGAGCTCATTCCAACATAAATCTATTACACCTTTTTTTGTGGGACGCCAGGCAACGTGGGATAAGACCTGCGTCAACTTCACCCGAACAAAAGGCGGTATCGGTTGCCGAATCTAGCCGTCAACAGCGCTCGCACGAACCCTATCTCTCGATTATCACTATAATAAAACATGTCGATAATTTAAACATGTGAAATATATTCGGTTAATAATACCAAGAATTAAATAACACATTTTATTAGTTGTGATATTTTTTTAAATTTTTTTTTTTATATATTGATAGATAGTTTTAGTTCCAAAGTTATTATGGTAACTTATTTAATTGAATAGATATATCTAGCTAACAGTTTCCGCATCAGTGGTTAAGTATGTTATTACAATGTTTAAGAAAACGTAATCATTCTATTTTTTATGCAGAACTATACGAAATTAGAAGCCTTAATTAAACTTAGTAAGTTTTAATTATTACATTTTCTTTGTTGATAGATTGAGATCACTAAAAGTTGAATTAATGTAATATTGAAGTATTCTTTATAGGTTTAGTTTTTTAGTTTGGTAGTGATCTAGTATTATTCTTAGTTGTTTATTAAAAATTATGCATTAACATTAAATAGATTTTTAATATAAAATAATAGTTTTAATGAAGCCAAAGTTTTCTTATATAATCACATTAGTTTTAGTTTTAATAATGTATACTTAATAATACTATTTTTATATGTTTTTTCATATATCTGCCTTTTCACATATTTATTATGGTTAAGTTTATTCTATCTACATGTTAATAGACTATACCTTTGACCTACTACACATATTATTATTTTTTACCGTTTTCTAGTTTCTCATATCTATTGTTATCTTGTCTTGTCTTAGCCCTGATGAAGTCCTCAACCTTGGGCCGAAACGTCAGGAAAAATAAAAATAAATATAATTTATAACATTAATAATAATATAATTACTTTGTTGCTTGTTACCACATCTACGGGGGGGAGGGACTTTCGGGCAAAAATCCTCCCCCTCTCAAAAAAAAACTGATTAAATATAACCATGTTTTATGGAAAAAAATTATCTCTTAAAGCATTATTTTTCGTGTAATTACATTTAATGCCGATAGTTAGTTTCTTTCTTATTCTTTAAAATAATTATCGTTATATTTACGAAAAAACAAATCTTTTGGGCTGAAGCCCCCTCCCCCAAAATTAAATCCTGGGTCTGCTAGTGCTTCCCCCCCAAAACTGGTTAAATATAATCATGTTTTATGGAAAAAACATCTATCAAAATATTATTGTTCGTGTAATTACATTTGATACAGGTAGTTAGTTTCCTTTTGTTTCCCAAAATAATTATCTATATGTATATGAAAAAAAATCTTTCGAGCTGAAGACCTCCCAAAATTAAATCATGGATCCGCTAGTGCTTGTTATTGAACACCTCATCCAACTCCTCTTCAATATAATCATTTTGGATAATATTTATCAATTTATTTAAGTAAAAAAAGTTAAATTATTATTTTGAAAACTGTCCTTTGTTTTTTCTTATCATCTTTGTCGTCTAGGCGCCGATTGAGTCTACTTTAAAGTAAATTGGATGAGAGGAAGCATTTTTTCCTATTCTTCCAACAATTTAGTGTTAAGACCTATTACCTTAAATATTAATTTCAAAATGTTGTTCGTATTTGGTCAATCATTTTTTCGAAAACAAAATTTGAGAATTAGCATGTTTTTCGATTTCTGAGCAATGTTTATAGTTGTTTTAGGAAGCTGCTAATGTTTAGCCTACATAATTACCAACTTGACCATAGCTACGCCATTATGAAAAAAAAATCTCTTTGATTAATGGATCTACTAAGGAGAGATTATAATAATTCAATTTAATTTATTGTTTTTAAATAATTTTGTTGTTCAGTTTTCTTACACGACTTAATTTGTTTATTTTTTGAGATATTTGCTGCAAATAAATGATGGATTAACCAGCGTTAACAAAATACTTAACGTTTAGATGGCGTTGCTTGGCAACTGACAGGCTATTGTTTGCAAAGCTACACCCTAGAATTAAGGATTTTCTGGACTGTGAAGATTTAACCTTTCATTTTCACCAAAGTTAATCAGCTTTTAAAACAGAGTTAATTCGAAATAATCTCAAACGAATTACTATCAAACTTCACTCTATGCACAAAATGTCATTAATAATGACTCAACATTACAAGAAAACTAATGCATTTTGAAGTGAAGTTATAAAAAAATACTCCAGTGCTATTAATGAAATAATTATGGTCCTTATTTAATTTTCACTTACTTATAAATGTAGTATATAACACAGGCGGATCTACGGGGAGGGCTTTCGGGCTGAAGCCCTCCCCAAAATGGTAAAATATAACCATGTTTTCCAGAAAAAAATGTTAAATACTATCTCTTAAAGTATTCTTGTTCGTTTAATTATATCTAATAAGACTTCAAGAACTACTTAAACACTATTTTTTATAGGTAGTTAATTTCTTTCCTTTTTTTTCAAATTAATTATAGTTATATGTATATGAAAAACAAATCTTTCGGGCTGAAGCCCCCCACCAAAATTAAATCCTGGATCCGCTAGTGGTATATAATAAGGGAAAGGATTGCGATCGTGAACATTTTTGGATCTGTGTTTTCAACGGCAATACATGTATTAAGATCCCCTGAGTCCAAATAACCAAGTCCTACAAAATGGTCTAAGTTTCTTTGTGTGTGTGTTATAGTCCAGTAAAATTAGGGGGAAAACAGCTTTACCCCCATATTCAAAATATAAAGATGAAACGTAAAAAAATGTTCATTAGCCTCTCCATAATAACTGGTAAAAATTCCCAAAGAATTCCGCCTCGGGTTTTGATGAGAGGAGGAGAAAATCAGAGAACTGATATTTTTTAGTTTTTTTGATAATATCTCAAAAACTATGATTGGTTTGATCAATATTAAAGAACTTTAAATATCTATAATAATGATTATATACACTTTTTTCATAAAGTCAATGGTTACAAAGATATTTATGAGATTATATTTATTGGATTTCCACTTAAAGCAAAAATTGCTCCAACCAAATTGATGTGGTTCATAGTAGACAATACCTTTATGAAGTTTTTTTTATTTATATATATATTTTTTATTCATTGACATTTACAACAGTATTATAAAAAAAAATAAATACAACATTTTTAGATGTGCTCTCAGGAATATAATAACATGAAATCTCTTGTTGAGAAACTACCCAATGATAGCACTCAAATAATAAATTTACTCAAGAAGATCACGAGGCCACCTTCTTTTCAGACGACTCGGAGGGTTATCAGGGATCGAAGAGGAAGCATGATTTGAAACGAGAGGGTTCGGATGGTTCTGAACATTGTTATGGAAGGATAAGTATCTGGATTGGGCCAAATCGGAAACATGGAACATGAAGGTCTTTATGGATGATTTTATTTGTGACAAAGTGAGGAGCGTTGAGGATTTTACGAAGGATTTTGGATTGTAAGGATTGGATGCGAGAGGAATTCGATGGTTCAGTGGAGCTGAACTCCGTAAGTCCAAATAGGTCTTGTTATTGTCATATATATGAGTCGTCTGTAATCGATTGAAAGCTTAGAGCGTTTGTCTAGTAAGTGTTGGAGTAGTCGAGCAGTTTCTTGTCGTTTCAGTCTTGTTTGAGGATTCCATGTGAGTCGTTTGTCCAGGTGGAGTCTTAGATAACGGATTTGTTCAATAGGGATAAGTGGGGAATTGTTAAAGGATACTGAAGGACAGGAGGTCATAGGTTTGCGACGCAGAGTAAAGGTAATTTGGTGGGATTTATTTTAATCCTCCAGTTTTTACACCATTGTTCAAGGTGTGTGATATGTGATCGGAGAGTTTGGGATGCAGTTGATGGATCATTATTAACGGATAGGATACATTCCTCATCAGCATATGTGGTGATGACAGTGTCAGGATGGGTTGGGATGTCAGCTGCATAAACTGTGTAGAGGATAGGACCGAGGATACTACCTTGAGGGCTTTATGAAGTTTAATTAATTTTTTTAACATTTTCGATCTTTCGAATTATTATTCAAAGTTTCTTTCTTTTAATGATTCTTAAAAGTCATCAACAGAATTATATTCGATATCGATCAAAGGAGAATTTCTTCACGAATGATATGAATCTTAGATTGAAATTAATTTCATATAATTGATAATATGTGATAGAAGGCATTAAAAGTTATAAAAAGTTACCATAAACCATGTTCTGATTACATACAGAGAACCAGGAAAGTTAAATTTTGTAATTTTTAAGCCACCTACGTTTTATGTTGAATAAAAAGTAATAACTAAAAAAATGTTTTATTTAGGTTACAACCAATTACTTCATAGTAAATTGGATTAAATTTACATTAAATGCAAGCAAATCTTGTCTTTTTTAAAAACAATTTAAAGGCGAATTTCAAGCAGTTAATAAACTACGGTTAGTCCGAACTATCCGAACACCCGAGTGTTTATGATTTTTTTTTTTTATGATTCTCCAATAGGACTGAAGATAACAGACTTTCAGAAAACCTTCCTTGTTCAATGAGCTTAAATCTATATTAATTAAGTCGAGTTTACGTTTTCTCTAATTTAGTAAAAATATTATTAGAAAAGAAAATTAGGAATATATTCAAATATTTTTATATATTTTTCCTCCGTTAGGGATGAATATCAACTTACTCTGAAACAAACAGCAAATTAATTAATATAAACTTAAATCCCATCAAACAAGGATGTTTTTCTGAAAGTGTGGTATCTTCAGTCTAGTTGGGGAATCATAAAAAAACATACGTAGAATACTTGATTTTATGAAAACCTCAACTTACCTTATTATCCGTGGTACAGACCCCTTTTTATTGAATTATTAACATTCGCCTGAAACTTCGTAAATAGTTTCATCTCATCGTAACCTACAACTATTTCATTTACGAAAACCCTTGGAATTGTGGCGTTTTCAATCAGAAGGGAGGGGGGGCAAACTTTGTCTATTTAATTAGGTACTAAAAACTCGTAAATAACCATTTGCTTTCTTCTTGGATCGTATGATAATTTGATCAAATAATCGATTAAAAAGGTAGCCTTAAAAAATATTGAGCCGTTTGGTGTGACGTGCACCTCCAAATTTTCGAAATAACGAGGTTATATAGGACAAACAGCCCAATATTTCTGTAGACAGCCTTTTTTATCGGTTTTGTGATCAAATTATCTTACAAACCAAGTAGAAAATAAATGGGTATTTACGAGTTTTTAGTGACTTAATGAGTCACTTAATATTTTTCATATCCTACAACTTTTTTATCTACGAAAATTCTCTAAAATTAGATTTCCAATTAAATATATTGATTTAATGAGGTACTAATAACTCACGAATATTCAATTGCATTCCTAAGATAATTTGATCACAACATCGAGAAAAAAGGCGGCCGACAAAAATATTGGGCCCTTTGGTCTATATAACCTCGTTATTTTGTATTTTGGGGGTAGGAGGTCACGCCAAGCTGCCAAATATGTTGAAGGCATCCTTTTTTTCTCAGCTGTTGAAATCAAATGAGTCTTTGCGAGTTTTAGTACCTAATTAAATAGACAAAGTTTGCCTCCCTCCAGATTGAAAACTCCCCCAATTCCAAGAGTTTTCGTAAATAAAATAGTTGTAGGTTACGATGAGATGAAACTATTTACGAAGTTTCAGGCGGATGTTAATAATTCGATAAAAAGGGGTCTGTACCACGGACTAGTAGTTTAACTGGTTAAAAGACCCATTTAAATTGTTACAAGATTTATAATTGGTAAATGGTTGACTGTCGTGGATAATGAAGAGAAGAATAGTTGGGGTGGTCAGTCAAAAAAGAAGGCAAAAATAAATAATAATCATTTATAATAAATGATAAAAATAAATATTATCATTTATTTTTGACTTCTTTTTTGACTGACCACTCCAACTATTCTTCTCTTCGTTACAAGATTTACTTGCATTAAATGTAAATGTAATCCAGTTTACTATGCAGTAATTAGTTGTAACCTAAACCAAACATATTTTTAGTTATTACTTTTTGTACAACATAAAATGTAGTTGACATATTACAAAATTTAAGTTTCCTGGTTCTCTGTATGTAATCAGTCCATGGTTTTTGGAAACTTTTTACATAAACTATTAACTATATAAACGCATTTTTGTAGATATGTCAATATTTCAAAAAACGTCTCGTTCGATTTGACTCAAAGTTAGATAAAAGGTAGATATTAATGAAACATTAATGTAGCATCAATTTTATTGAATTCTGTCCACTACTTCCTGTTATATAGGAGTAAGCGAGTTTTCTTGATACGTCTATATCTCTAAAACGGCCAGTTTGATTTGGCTCAAATTTGGAGGGAATTTAGAGATTGATAAATAGATAATCAAGTACATATGAATTTTATCAAATTCTATCCACTACTCCCCAAAAAAAACTTCTATTTTCAAATCAGATGTATTATTTGACAAGCCCCTAGTTTAAAAACATGGAGGAAATTTGGAGAATAGTGTAGAAATTAGTATCAATTTGCTGAATTCCATTTAATAAATAAAATTAATATAAATATTTGTTAAAAATATAATGTCTGTGAAATGTGGAAGGCATTGATCATATGGAGTGGGAGTTAGGTTAAGACAACATTTTTACGGGGATATAAAATTATAGATTTTATTCAAAAAGTTAATTTCTACTATATTGTTTGGTCGATTGCAAATGTTACTGGTATGATAATTACCGTAACTTAGATTCCATGTAACTTTCAGTAAATTTAAATTAATTTTTACTCTGAGTTTTTTTTTTTTTTTTAACGTCTTATTTGTGCTTGTATTTATTGTTATTGAAGTTCAACCAGCTCTCCGTGGTCTCCATTTTCTCCTTAAATATCAAAGTTATCTGAACTTCACGCATATTTTTATATTCCAGCTTAATTAGTTTTGTTCTCGTTAATCCCGAACAAACAAAAAGTTTATTTTTTTCTATGGATCTTTTGTTTCATCCATGTTACAAGTGAATACATACCTATTAAGTATGTATTACTATTGTTAGTGCAAAAGATCGTAAGTAAAAATTTTCATCTTTTATTCTGTTTGTGCTAAAGGTGACATTTTGTAGTCTGCAACTGATACAAGCAGTCTGCTTCTAAGTAAAATAGCAGATGACAATGAAATATGAAATTATACTAATAAAGCATAAAGAGATATTTATTTTTTATGCTCTTCTGAAAAACACTCAATTTTTACATACAACTTTTTGCACTAGCATTAGCGACATGCATGTTCTGCAGTTTTTTTTTTTAAATCACGTAACATTAATTATGAAGTCTGCAAATGTGGAACTCTTTCGCAATTTTAGTATTCGCTGATAAACAAAACTCTGTTTTTTTGGATATCAAACGGGGTGGATATCGAATCCGTAAATGTGGAGAAGCTTTTCCCAGAGATTTTATTTCATTCGGAAAATTTTAGACCTTGTAATATAGATATTTTTTAGCCAATGAAAACGGTGAGGAAGCTATACTGACCTTATTTGACAGTTTTTTTTTAATACATTTATAGAATAAACAAATAAATTTGGTATACGAATATAAAACATGATACGTTTTTGTGAAGATGCATTCCAATGATTAGATAAATTTACGTAGTCCTTTAGCTTTTTTCTTTTTTTTTTCAGATGCCTCGGAGGGTTGTCAGGAATTGTTTTAGATAGTTTTGAACCAGAGGATTAGGGTGACCTGAGATTTTGGGATTAAAGGAGGAGAATATCTGATTTGGGCCAAATCTGAACAAAAGGAATTTGGAGGTCTTTATGGATAATTTTATTTGTGACGTAATAAAGAGCATTAAGGGTTCTACGGAGGATTTTGGATTGTAGGAATGAATACGGGATAATGAGATGATTTTGAAGAGTCTCTGTTTCGTATGTCCATATAGGGCTGTGTATATGAGTTTTTAATAGAATACAGGAAGTTTAGAGCGTTTGTCAAGCAGGTAGCAATAGAAATCTACGAGCAGTTTCTTATGGATTCTAAATAAGATGTAGTCATAAGCAAGGGCGGATCTATGGGGGGGGGAGGGCTTTCGGGCTGAAGCCCCCCAAAATGGAAAAATATAACCATGTTTTATATGAAAAAAATACCTCTTAAAGTATTGTTGTTCGTGTAATTACATTTAAAAGTACTTAAGGAATAACTTAAGCACCATTTCATATAGGTAGTTAGTTTCTTTCTGTTTTTCCAAAGTAATTATCGTTATTTTTATGAAAAAAAAGGTTTCGGGCTGAAGCCCCCCCAAAAATAAATCCTGGATCCGCTAGTGGTCATAAGTAACGGATTTGTTCGACAAGAAAAAGTGGAGTATTGTTAAAGAGTAATGTAGAGTTTGTAAGAATGTAGGAGGTTTGTGAAGATTGGCAAATGCGAGTTGATCAGATTTGTTTCGATTTATTCTGATTCTCTAATGCCGTTCACAAAATAGATTGTATAAACATGCAGAGAATTAAATAAAGTTTCACAGAATTAATGTTTGAAATAAATAAATAAACCAGTTTTTAGGTCATATAATTTTATTGTATATATTAAATATATATATTATATATTTCCTTATAAAATACATTCATATATCTTATATACATATAGTGGCATTAAACATCAATAATACCATTGTCCTCACTTAATTCTTATATCTTCGATTCCAATCAAACAGATATAGACTTTCTTATTTAGTCAACTACGATAGATAACTACAATTAAAGCCGCTATTGCTAGCGCTCAATAAACACGATAGTATATTCTACAATAGTTCTACAATAGTACAATCGATATTAATAATTACTATCGATAAACAGCGAGGACAAAAATTGGGAAAAATTCAACTATTCGAAGATCCCACGTATCCGAAATATTGAACACCTACGGGCTGACCAATCGTCGACAGATTGCCTCTTTTTATAAATACACATATATATATATTATTAAATATCATAAATAAATTTGACGACGACTATGAAATAAAGTCAGTTCAAAGCAGGTGGGTTCTACCAGTACCTGATACTCGGTACCTTTAGACCTCGGCCTACCGTCTCAGTCGAAATCAAAATCGCTTTTAGGTTAAATAGAAATAAAAATAAAAAACGAAAATCACAGACATCTCTGGCCCTAATAGGAATGGAGCCGGGGGCGACGGGCTGATCTGGTATTTCTTTTCACTACGGATCTGGCCCCTTGTCATTTCGTCGACCTGACGGATCTCCTGTTGATCATGCTGGATCGGAGGGTCTCCCCTCTGATGGAAGCTCTCAAGGATACGCTGCGCCTGAAGGTCTGGCCACTCTCGACGTTGTCCTCCGTCTTCCTGCAATGGCAGAAGAGCATTATATTAGTACTTAATGAAAACATCAACAAGGCGAGATTAATAATATGAAATATACATTATAAATAATAGATCTTTATAAAGAGGATCAAATGCAGGTCCGATTTCAAGTTTCTGAAATATTTTAATTCATATCTTCAGTAAAACTCGTTACCATTTCCTTTCCGGTTACCAAAGCTTTTCAGAATCTCCTTGAGATATAGACTTATATGGACTTACACATTGGAAATGTGACGGCTCAATTAAAGCCAGTAGTCGTGATAGCCGTGTTGCGGTATTGCCGCTTTAACATTCTCGAGTCTAGCGGTGCCGTTTCAAATCTGGCCTGGGCTAGTTAAAATTTATGTAGAATGGATCTCGACCTTTCCACACTGGTTATAATAGTTGTGATTATAATTATTAGTTATACTTCAAGAACAACCCCCCATATGCACATTAACGTATCCAAGATTTAATTTTGGGAGGGGCTTCAGCCCTAAAAATTTTTTTTTTTTTATATATATATATATTAGGATAATTACTTCGGAAGAGAGAAATATAAATTGAAAGCTTTCCTCCCCCTCCCCGCCTGTGCATATCCATGTAATGGTGAGATAGAGGCGTACAGAAAGAAATGCTTGTTTTAAAACATGAAAGTAAAATACGTTGTCAAGTTATTTTTATTTTGATGATTGGTCCTTTTGTATTTCCGCATAGGTTTCGGATGTTATTCGGTTGCTCGGATACGCTCGAACACCTGCTCATGATATGTATGAAACAGATATTTGTTGTTCAAATTTAAGGAAAGTAATACTGTGAGGGTGCAGCATTTAACGTCAATTGATATGAAGAGACTAGATACGTGAATTATTAAATAATATCCTTCTGCCGCTTGAGGTTAGAGATGTGCGATGGAGATACGTGGCGAGGCCGAGCAAGAGGACAGCCTTGCCTAGTCAGTGGAGATGGCTACCGTTAATTTCGTCATCAGCTGTTTGCTATCGCAAGTTGCCATCTAGCCGCCTCATACCTCCTTGTTCAGCTCCTCTCCAAGTTCTGCCTTGACCGAACGTTTGCGAATGACAAACTGATTTCTTTGTATTGTTATAGCTCTAATAGTTTTTTGAAGTGAAAACTTCATTAGGCACTTTTTAGTGAGTGAATTAGATTGATCCGTCAGATTTCCGAAGTATTTACGCTCGAGTAAAGTCGGCTACAGTCGACTAAATTTAAGTGTTTTTATATATGGATTAAAATATCTCAAAAATTAAAAATCGGACCTGCATACTGTTAGCGAGGGAAGTGTTCAGCATTTTATCTTTCCCACAGGTGGATCTACGGGGGTTAAGGTGGGGAGAGCGAGCTTTCAGGCTGAAAGTCTCCCCAAAATCGTAAATTATAACCATATTTTATGAAAAATATTATCTCTAAAAGTATTATTGTTCATCTAATTAAAGTTAAAAAGACTTAAAGAATCACTTAAACACCGTTTCATGTAGGTAATTAGTTGTATTCTTTCTTCCATGGTAATTATCTTAATACATACGTACTAAAAAAATTCTTTCGGGCTGTAGCTCTCCTCCCTCCAAATTATATTCTGGGTCCGTTAGTGATCCTCTCTGTAATGGGCTATTATTGAAACGCGACACATTGTTAGGACGGCTAAAAGGAAAAAATAGTGACGAAAATCAAATTATAAACAGTTTTATTAAAGATATGAATATAAATATCTCAGAAAATAAAAATCGGACCTCCAAACTGTAAGCAAGAGAAATGTTCAGTATTTCATCCTCCATATAAAGATCTATTATTTATAATTTATATTTGATATTATTAATCTCGCCTTATTGATATTTTTACTTCTATCGTGTGTTATTTAAAAACACTTTAATATCAAAACGGGTTTTGATAATTTAAAAAAATAAACAGAAACAGAGTGTTTACGCATACCGTATTTCCAGAGAAACAAGTATGGCGGACCTTAGGATTTGCATTGGCCGTAAACTATTATCATTTTATAAAGAAACCTAAAGAATCAAAAGGAAATGAATAAATGCGTAAAATTTGTCAAAGGAGATAGTGAATGAAGATATGTTGTAGGAAACTCATTTAAAAACAATTACGTTAAACAACATACCTCAAGCAATACAAAAAGTAAACAATTGTTTAAAAGCGACAATAGCGCCTAACCAAACTTCCTTTTATTTCTCTTACAAAAACCGACAAAAAATACAACTGGCACAAACAAGAAACAAAATTTCCAGCCTAGAGAAACAACCCATTCAGACATTTCCATAGTTTGCGAAATGCCTAAACTTTAAACATCGAATTTCATTAATAACCTATGAGGCGTTATTGAACTTATTTATTGCTATCTTAACATAAGATCTTATTGTGGTCGATCGATTCTTAAACTCTACTGTAAAAAAATATGGTGTGTGCTTTAGCCCAGAGGATAGAAGTAAACACATCAACAAGGCGACATTAATAATACTAAATATAAATTATAAATAATAGCTTATTATAAAAAGGGTGAAATGCTGAACATTTCCCTCGCTTATAGTATGAAGATCCGATTTTTAGTTTCTGCGATATTTTAATCCATATCTTCAATAAAACTAATTATCATTTGGTTTTCGACGTTATTTTTCTCTTTTGGCTTCCCTAACAAAGTTTCACGTTAAGATGCGATTTTGAATAATATCTCATTATAAAGAGGATGAAATGATGAAAAATTCCCTAGCTTACAGTATGTAGGTTCGATTTTTAGTTTTTGAGATATTTTAATCCATATGGAAAAACACTTCAATTAGTCGACTCCAGCCGACTTTACCCAAGTGTTACACATCTGAAATCTGACGGCTCAATCTAATTTATCATCCACAAAGTCTAAAGAAGTTTTCACTTTAAAATCTTTTTTTTAGGCCTCGTTTGTCAGATATTTAATTTTTCTTTCGTCTCTCCCTCCATCGAACACCTTTAGGTAGTCGAGGATGAAAAGATGATTGTGTCCTTTTGAATGAGGTGGAGTCTGATTCTTTGGCCACTTTCATCATTATGTATATTCAACAAACTGATCTAAATAGAGAAACCTCATAACCAAATAACCACATTATCGTGGTACTTCTAAGACGATTAAGGTCGTGACCTTGAAAAGATGGTGACCTCTTCAATGCCGATACATCTGATCCAACGTATACTAATGATGCATGTGTGTGTGGTATAATGATCTATTCTTTGCTTCCTTAATTCTACCATTGCACAACATCCCTCTGAGAGAATCCAATCTCAACCATCCATTGTTATCAGAATCGTAATATTCGTGTATATTCATTAGTAATCTTCTTTAGTAGTATACACTATACAATAAATAATATTCGATGTAACTTAATCATAGTTTAGATAAACTACGTCAAGTTCAAAATTGTAGTTACCTGACACAAGGCAAGTCGAAGATGCTATCGTTCTTTCCGAACTCTTCTCCATCCTTTAGAGTTTGTGGTAGTTCTCTGTCCATGGTTTCCGGAAGGAAGAGGGAAAGGAGACCACCGACGACTCCGATGCAACCCAGCACCAAGAAAGGAAGATTCTTATCGACCGTTTCCTGTGAAGAGAAGAAGACTTGATATATTTAATGTTCTACAAGTACTGAGATAAAATTATTATAGAAATGACTAACCAGATATATGACGAATGGTGAGACGAAATTGGCTGTGTATCCCATGATGTGGATCAAGGCAACGCCCTGAGCCCTCACCACGGTAGGAAGTACTTCGGCGGCGTACTGCAATCCGATGTTGTAGGAAATGTTGACCGCGCATCGTCCCAATATGGCCATTGCTGCCGAATACGCACCTACAAGAAGAGTATGATTTTTTCTTCTAGCTCTTTTTCAATGATATTGATAGAATTCAAGATGAAACAGGCATTTCTTGAAGAGATTCTACTGTAGAAATGTCGCTACACTTTGATAACTGAGCCAAGATCTCTTGGTGATATTATAAACGGGATTTCGTGAATGGGCGAGTGTTGACAATGCGTACACAATATAACCTCCCTTTATTTAGATCGCGATTTAAGGTTTCTGGAAACTCTTAACAGGTCCTGAAAAGTTCAAATAGGGGTCATAATTAGCTTTAACTACCTCGGTGGTTGAAAATGGTTAAAGAAACCCATAGCGGATCTTTCTCAGTTAAGGTCAGGGCTTAGTTAAAGTATCGGTCACATCCGAGTCAACATCGAGTTTCGTACCCACTCGGCCATTTTTGAGATCCCATTTGTAGCATTATCATGAGATCTTGTCCCACAGATCAAAGTGGAGCCACACTACAGTAGTGCCCTTCAAGATTACATTCGAGCCCAGTTATGGACAGATTGGACTTTAAATGTAAATAATAAGCTTCCTTGTTGATTTAAAGGTTACAGTTTTTCCTAGATTGAAGAACAATGCCCTCTATTGACAACTGTGTGAAAGTTTCCATAAAAAAGTTTTAAATTGCTTATCATTGTTGTTTGTATAGTGCTCTTCAGATCAGTGTGTTTCATATCTTGCTACTAACAATTTTACTAAGGTTAATTTGAACATTTATGTTATCTTATCTTTATCGTTAACGTTAAATAAAAATTTAGAGTTTTTCTGAGGTATATTTATAACAGGTACCAACCAGTCCATTACTAGAACAATTAAATTTCGGGGTTTCCACGACTATTGCAAAAAGGTTTTTTTTTTTTTTAATGGAGATTATACCAGCATAACTGAATATTTTGAAAAGTGTTTAATAGAAAAAGAAGACCCCGAAGAATCTAAATGTCCAACGTAGAACTTTATAATAATTATAATAATTACGGCGGCATAAGCCAAAAAAAAGCAAAAATTTCCTTAGCTATGTCCATCACTGGTACGCTTACCTTATCAATGGTTGACTGAAACTTCTTAGTAATTAGTGGTTAACATTACCTAATGGTAGCATAATGGTGGCCCAGCTGAAGATCCCAGCCAATAGCATGGAGAGGCAGGCCAGCCACCTCCTGCCCCACCTGTCAAGGGTCAGGGTGAGGAGGGTGTCCGCCGGCAGCTCTGTGGCCGAGGTGATGGTGAAGGTGAGGAAGACATCGAGGCCCAGGGTGCGCACCGACCTCACGTGGCCGTCGAACACCAAGGACACAGCCATCCTGAGGAACAACGAGGGTTCAGGCTTCAAAACACTTCTTGTAGCAATAATAAGGTTCTATTTCTAATGAATATAATATATATATAAATTGAATCCTTTATTAAATCAGAAAATTTTGCTCTTGTTGGAACTATATTTGATGTATAAAAGATTTTTTATTTTATTTATTAAACGCCTCTGCCGTTGGCTATTAGGCCGTTCGGCTGCCCAATACAACTCCACCATGAATCCTTTCGATAAATAAAGTCGAAATTTATAAAAGCATTTTTGAATGTTAGACTATATCGAAAATATACTTAATGACTTTATGCAATCAACCGAATATATTTTTAAAAGAATCTGGTGCGCGCAACACACAACTTTCACTTACCGATCTACTTTGAATACAAATTATTTTCTGGCAATGCTGGGCTATTATAAAATTTTTTAAAGTATATTTTAAACAGAGCTATAGCTTAAAGCTTACAGATAACAAGTCATTAAGACCAGTATAATTACAAAATGTCTATTTAATATATCGACAACAGGCAATAAAAATCAATTCACTATATCTGATTTTATAAACCACAGAATGACTAACTCCAATTTCAACATTTTTGAGTGATGTCATTTTAGTGATATTTTTAGTTGAAAAAGTTATCTATGCAGACAATGAGTAAGTTGATTCCAGAGGTGGTGATTGCAGTGTTGAAATATAGAACTGAGAATAAAAGTATAAATTTAGGTACTACTTTCTTATGAAAGATGCTCTTAGGAAAGAAACTTTTTAAATATCTGTAGAAAAAAGTTTTTTTTAGTCTCAACAATTAAAAAAATATATTTTAGATTTATTCAAATTTTCACCTCTTCAGGGAAAATAACTAGAGACCATATCTTTCCTCCTAATTATCCGATTTTAACGATTTTTTTTTTTTTTGTTTTTTTAGGAAATTCCATAAACTTTTAAAAAACCATATAATACTTTTTGAGTTATTCGGAAATTAATTTTAACATCCCTCGTAACTTTTTTTCCAGCTTCTTTTCGTTGAAGTATGTTACATAAATAAATTTAAAGGGTATTGAGAAAATGACTTTAGCGAAGTTTCATTGAAATCGGTACATCCGTTTAGGCGCTACAGTCTGTAGGAATGCAGGTTTTCCTGCATTTTTATTTTTTTTCTTCTTTATTAATTTATCGAATTCTTTCAAAAGTTATATGTAGCATTTTTTCGTAACTCTAAATAATGCGAAATGGTTAACTTTTTAAAATAAACCATATTAAAGGTACTTTAGAGGGAGACGTATATGAACATTGGGCATTTAAGCCCTGTAAAGTGACATCAACAGTGATAAGTCCTAAATGATATTATAGATAACTTAATTATACGATGATACACCGAGTGTGTTCGAAATCGTAAGAGTCGTTATTGAGAAAATTGTAAAAATGTTTTTCAGCGTTCATACAAAGTGGCACTTCCGGTCAGCCGATTTTTACGAAAAAGTTGCTGTCACATCCGGCCCATATACAAACCTTAAATACTTAATATCAGTTTCGTACTATTTTTCGTTTATGAGCTAGACTGTTAACACACACAGACAGACAGACACACGCACACACACAGACCATTTTGCGACACTTGGTTATTTGAACTCAGGGCACCTGAAAACATGTATTTCCGCTGAAAACTGAGATTCCAAAATTTTCACGATCGCAATACTTACCCTTACTATATATTACATATGTATGTAAGTGAAAGTAATAAATAAATGAATGAGCAAGGAAACAAATTTAATTGTCCATTTTTACTCGTTTAAAAAAAAATTACGACTATTTTTTATTTATTTAAATGAAGTATTTAAATTGGGGTAGTTTTTCGTTAGAAAATATTTCTTGGCCACTAGCCTTAAAATTCGCCTGGATAGGATAATCAATAGATTAAATAATAATAAAAGGCTTAGCCCGAAGGTTCGATGCCGACACCACCAATCGCCCACTACACACCTCCCTCCACCGTTCGCCGTCCAAAACCAGTCCCTTCAGATCGGCTTTAATGCAATCTTCCCACCTTCGCTTCGGTCTACCCCTCGGACGCTTACCATTCGGCACCGCACATATTAACCTTTTAGGAATCCTATAATCAATAGATTAGCTTTTAGTATTATAATGACCAACTTTGTTGTTAGATAGAAAGAATCATGGTTTTTATATCGATACTAAAGAACTTATATTAATATCGATATTGAAACAAAGTACTCAATGACGCCTAAAACTCAGTTTGACTAAACTGCGAGACGCAACAGTATCGCAGGTCAGGCAGACAAAGACTGCCAAACCAAGACCGTTTTGTATGCTCAAGCAAGATATTATTTAACTTTAATTATATTTAAGTTTAATTTACTTTTATTTATTATATATATTTTTATTCACTATAATTATTTCGCTTTAATTTCATTTCAATTTATTTGTATTTTCTGTAAATTTTGTGGAACTCTTTTCTCTATTGAGAAATTTTTCTTTTTATAGTTATAGTTAACTGTTAGCATTATTGTAAGGAAATGTTAAATTGATCAATAAAATATTGATAATAAATAGCGGCCTACAGAAATATTTGGCCAACCTTTTTTTTTTCAGTTTCTTCGATATAAAAGATTTTTCTTTGGTTTAATACTTTTTTTTTATAGAAATATACAAAAATAACTTACCATATGACAATCAATAGAATAGTGATTTTCCTGAGACGGGGTGTTTTGAACAGGTCCAATACTGAATAGGTTTCTTGTTTTTCTTCTGCAACGGTTTTTTCGCAAGCAGCCTGAAAAGATATATATATTAAAAAAAAACATAATTATTTTATAAGCTTTTTATGCGAACACGGAGATGGGATGCCGATAACATTTGTTCTCATGATCGGATTTTTTTTTTTTTGTAGGCCCAAGAACTTTAACATTGAATTCCAAGCTGTTCCCAAAATTGTTTGGTCCAGATATCCCTGGGATAAAAAAAAATTTGCGACATCCTTGGCATAAAAAAAAATTCACGGAACCATTGTCATATTAAAAAACAAAACATAGTTATCCTTAGAGAGGTACCCCCTGTCCATCTTAAGCTTCAATCAATAAATAATTCCGATTTTTTTTTTAACTAATAATTTTTTTCACTAGACGATATACAAAATATTGTATCGTGTTTGCATGAACAATTTTATGATACTATTATTCTTATTTCCACTTAAAGTATTTCATTAAGAGTTACAAATAATAAAAATAATGTTCTTTAACAGCCAAATAATATACGAACTAATCATTGTAATGAAATTATTAATAGAAAATGATTTTTTTTTCTTTTGACATTGATATCTCCTTCAATTACATGTTAAACAAATCAAACAGCTGAAAAACAAAAAATCAATTCAATGTTATTTTATTGGATCATAGTTCAAATTAATAAAATTTTAATAGGACTGAGATAATATTAACAAATCTAATAAATTCCCTAAACACACACACACAAAATAGGTGATTATAATTAATATAGATTCATTATAAATAAGATATATTATATCTCCGTTCACAACAGTTCATTTTCTCCATATTATATATTAATTCATATTACTAATAGATATATGAAAGATTTTACCGCGAAATCGGTGTAAATTTTGGGGTCGACTTTGGTTTTGTTGATTTTTTCAAATTTTTTCATTATATGTATCGCCTTTTCTGTTTTTCCCTGGGAGACTAACCACCTGAAACAAAATAAAAAAAATATTACATTTAAAATTCTAATGAAAATTATATTAATATAATTTAATGTTTTTTTTTTTTTCTGATTATCACCTAACACGCCATACAGAAGGGGAAGAAATTCTAGAAACACCAAACCAGTATTTTGGCATACACCATTAATTGACGATTTCTAGTTATTTGGAGGATTTCAATTGCTTTGAATGGGAGAAGAAAGCTCTGTTTGTGCTAGTTATACGCTGGTCTATTTCTGAATGTTGGTTATTCATTGAGGTTATTGTATAGCCGGGTATATTTCTAAAATATGAGCTATACGATGATGTATATTTCGAAATCATCTCGTTACGTCAACTTAGTTAATTTAGTAAAAAAAGAAACAAAAAAAAATAATTTTTTTATATTAATGTAAAAATTAATTTTTTTTCTGTATTCATACTTCTATCCACACCTGTCATAGCATTGACAATAAGCAGTGATCTCATTGTACACAAAATTGGCATTTAAGGCATGAAGAAGATTAGTATCCAGCAGTACCTCTTCCTGGTTTCGGTCTACTTCATAATTTAGGAAAGGAGATCTCTCATCCAGCTTCTCTTTAGTCGTCTCCTGATGGGCATGTCAGCTGTGGCCTTGTCGTTGATAAGTCCGTTGTGATGCCCGTGTAGTTTAAGATGAAATCGGGAGTAGAGAGTACGTATGTGTTGGTCGTTAGTTGGTTGTTTTAAGTCAGTAAGTAGTTTTGTTGTGCACCTATCAGAGAGCTGCTATAATTAGTCTTAAAATTTTGGATTGAAATTATTCTAGTTTTTGTAATTTCGTCTTTTTTGCAGAACCGTAAATTTGTGAGGAATATGTCCATATGGGTTCGACTAGGTAAGTGTACGTATTTAATTTTTGTCTGATTTTCAATTTTGATTTGGAAAAAAAGGGAGTATAGTATTTTCAGTCGTTTGTTCAAAGTCTTTCGTTTCATTTTGACATGTGGGCTCCAGGTAATCCTTCTTTAATAAAATAAAATAAAAACTAAAATCAAATTTAGTCGCACCCTAAATTCTGTCGCCGGGCATTGTCCCGTTCGCCCCTCCCTGTTCCTGCCTTAATTCGAGAATTCTGAATTGATCTCTTATACTAATTCTGGTCTAATCTTTTCTAAAAAGGATTTCGAAAGGTCGGATTATAACAGAGACATGGTAATGGGATTTTCGTTGTGGGATAAAGGTCATTAGCAAGATAATCCCCATTTTGTTTTCGGTTCAATAACCCGAGGCCACCTTGAGTTTAGCTACGTGAAAGTGGAGAGTATGCTCTGCGGCGTCGCTAAGATTGTTTTATATCTCTCTATTCTATAAAAAAGTTTTTAGTGTATGTCATATTTTATTTTAGTGTTAGGAGAGTAAGAGGTTACAGGAGCTCTCATATTAGCTCTAATTACACAGCTATTTATTTAATTACGTATATGTCGAGCTCCTGTTAAGTGGACCTTACACGGTCATTCGTAATTGCATTCCGAGGAACTAATGACGTTTCGAATGATCGTGTAAGATAGTGAATGAAGTACTGATGGACGTGTCTGGCGGATTTCCAAAAATCATTCATCATTCACGACAGAGGAGGGGTGACTGAGGTAAAAGTAGTGGGGAGACTAACCATACTACTAGATTGGTTAGTTTATCTAGGCCTCACAACCGTTATAAATTCCTGATTTTCATTAAAAGTTAATATTTAAATAGTGTTTTTCATATCCCTTGTTTATATTTTATAAACCATCTTCAACTATTTTTTTCTTTAATAATAGTCATGTGGAGAATAAATTAAAAAAAAAAGGTGAAAACTTCACAATTTACTTATAGAAAACAAAAAAAAAAAAAACTATTGTGTTTATTGGTCATTTATTTTTCTATTTTCTTAATAAATTTATTATTTTCGCAATACTTTTCCTAAATGTTTATAAGTAGTTGACTTATATTTTTCTTACTTTGGTCAGAACGATTTTCAGGCACTAGGAAGTAGAGGGAGAAACACTTTATTTTCATAAAATATAAAGGATTGCTGCCCAATTATATTGGGTTGCTATATACACAGCATACTCTTCTATCCTTAGGACAATATATGAACTTATATATAAATATACAGAAGTATTAGTTAATATTTTTTTTTCTCCATTTTTCTCTTGATTTCCAATACTATAATGGAAAATGTCCAAATAAGCTTTTCAAATTAAACACATTATTATAATTGGACAATCCATCAGATCCATGCTGCCTGTTATCTCAAAGTCAACTGAGCTAAAATGATTGAACGTGTAGAGGTTCATCATGCACAAAGCGACTCCGAGCAATCTTTGTCATTCTTGTGACTTTCATTCACGAATGATCGTGTAAGGGTCGCTTTATCTAATACTTTACTAATACAAAGAAAAAGATTTTAGACTAAAAATTTGTCCGGGAAATGGTATTAATATTATTCATCTAGAGCTGGTAGTTTGATGGTACCTATGTGACAGCAGTTATTTTTCCATATTGACATTTCCTCTTCAATACAATGTATTAATTATTGTATTATTTATATTTATTTATTTATATTATTGTGATATAATTATAACTATTATGAAATAGAAAAGGAAGCACAATATAATGAACAATGAAATTATTTGAAATAAAAGACTCAAATTATTGTTGGGTTTTATGAAGCTGAATAAGTTGAATATACTATGGTTACAAATTAGCAATAAGAATATTTATAATTATATAATAATATAAATTGGCAATAACCTGCTATGTATAATATAGATTTTTATAAAAAATAAAAATTTGTCCGAACTGTGGTTTCGTTAAGTTTATTTTATGTTGATAAAAAATAATACAACCGAACTACAAAATACATGTAAATTAAAGTTATACAATTTGAGCAAGCAGTAGTACAATTAAATGAACAGTTGTGTAATTTGCAAAATGGAGGTTGGTCCGCCGTTAGATTATATAGCCCAAGTGAATAAATTTCTTTGTTTTTATTAGTTCTTCACGTAGTTTTCGGTCCCTTTTCCAAAACATTACTATAAAATAACAAAACATTCTTGAGAGTTAAATAAATTATACTAGCACTAAGTAAAATATGTTTTCAGAAAAATAGTTTTAATTTTTCTTGAATATTTTTTTTACCATTCTGACTCATCATTTGATATTTTTAAAGTGAGATGTTCCGTTTCAATTCACAATCTTTTTTTTTTTTTTTCATTACTAGTTGAGACATTGAAGGCTATTTTGTATACTTATTGGTAAAGGCGTCCTCAGGACTGCTATCTATATTTATGTAGTCTGTATCTCTGATCGATGGTTATGTATTAATGCAAGACAATATTTCCTCGGATCTTTCCTATTCCAAACGATCAACACCCGACACCCTTTCTACAGTCTACAGTCTGCTACAGTTCAAACCCGTGATCCACTCCCAGAAAACAAGATCCCGTGTTTCCGACCTTCATATCCCTTCCCATAGAACTAAGACGTTTGAATATTCCTTTATTGTCCGATCCACTGCCTTCTGGATTTCCTTGCCATCTGAAATCCTCCATGCCTCTTCCTTGTCCTCATTTAAATATCATCTCTACCACTTCCTTCTCACGTCCCAAAATGACGTTATACAATGAAATAAATATTGCGAAACAGATTTTGGCTGAGGTTTTTTTTAGATTTAAATAATGTTTTTTTATTTTTCAAAATGGTTTTATTTTTACTTGTTTTAATATACTTTTACTGAGATACTGTAAATTTTCTTTAATATTGACTAATGTAATTTTTGGCCAGATGTAGTTTTTATTTTTTTGTTCATAATTGCTATTCATAAGGGACCTCGTCCCAGAATAAAGTTTACTTTCTATCTATCTATCTATAATCATTTGTAATGTTGTTGGCTATAGGAGACAGTATATTTATTAATTATATTATAATAACAAGAAAAATATTTATAAGAAATATATATATATATAAGAATATATATAGAATAATATATAGAAGAAATCTATTACAATAACAGACCTGGCACTCTCTGGCACTAGATAGGGAGTGATGATGAAGGCCAGAAGAGGTAGAGAAGTGACGACACAGATCCAGCGCCAGTTGGCGACCCAGAGAGACACCCAGGGGATGAGGCAGGCGGCCAGGGTGAAGAACAAGGCGATGCTCATGTTGGCTACGAAGGTACGCCATTTCGGTCCCACGTACTCCAGAACTGAAACGTACGAGGAAGAAATCAATAATTTGTGAAAGGAACAAATATAATATAGAATATTTAAAAATGAAAGAAGGTTGAAGCTGCAGTGGCCCAGAGATCTATTGTAGTATATATGTTGGAGTTCTGGCAGTGGCCAGATTCTCCACTCAAGACATGAGTGTATGTGGCTAAAGCGCTCTCGCTCAAACACCACCGGCTTTAGCACTAGTGACGCGGTTGAGAGAGTAGCGCAGGGATCTCTTGAAGTCCCGTTTTTCCTTCTATAGTTGGAGAGAGAAGCCTGGCTTGGGGTTCCCTTCTTGATTGTATATATTGTATATAGGTATGACTGTGTTTTTATGTTTTTAATTTATTTATCTATTGATTGTTTTATTTTTTATTGTACATAGTTTTTGATTATTATTTTACTTTTTTTAATTTTATATTTTCTGTATATATGGTAAGAATGTGTTATATCATATATCACTATAATTATTTTCCACGTGACAGATTGTTATATTTCTAAATAAATAAATAATATTATTGAAAATTCCGAAAAATCTCAATAAATCTGAAATTAAGTCTGTACAATGCTATGATAAAGCCAGTTCTAATACATGGCTGCGAGACCTGGGGACACTAGCCAGCAACTTTGAAAAAAGTATGGAAAGATTTGAGAGAAGAATCCTCCGCACGATAACCAGAGCGGTCTGGGATCAGAGTACTGACACATGGATAATAAACAACAATAAAGAATTGCTTACAGAAACTGGTCAATCAATTAGTAGTTTCATTTTCATCAATAAAAATGTTAAAGGTATTTTAAAGGAAGTTAATATTAAAAATTAGCCATTTAACCTCTGTTAGAGAACATCAAAAAGAATAAAACCTACATAATATTAAAAACTGTTTAATTTTACACTGATATAATGAATTTAATCTAAATCGTTGGAGCCGTTTTCCAGAAAATAGTAAAAATGTGTTTCATTGACAATATAAAGTGCCAATTCCGATTTTTACGAAAAAGTTGCTGTAACATCTCAAGTATATACACACCTTAAATATGCAATTTCACTTTCATACGACATTTCGTTTTTGAGCTAGACCTGTCACATACATATACTGTCACACACAGACCATTTTCCGAGACTTAGTTATTTGGACTCAGGGTATCTCAAAATATGTAAACCCGGTGAAACCTCCGATTCGAAAATTTTTGCAATCGCAGTACTCTCCCTTACTATATATTTCTCAAATAATAATAAATAATTGTATACTAATTGTACAAATAATAATTGTAGCATGTGTAATACTAACGAAACAGAAGATCTCTATCACTTCCTGGCTGCTTGTCCGATACTCTCTGTATTTAGAATTAAATGGTTAAAATCTAGAAATTTATTTCGGAATCAAGTAATTGATTTATTAAATGGAAACAATTGGATAGCATTGGTAAATTTTTGCAAGTCTGCTTTCTCCTATAGAATAATGCTCACCAAAGAATTAAACAATTAATAAATTGAAGAATTTTGGTACCACTCTTTTTGTAATTAAAATATTTATATAGCTTTTACATGGTAAATATAATTATTGTCATTTTCTTATTAATTAGTTGTATATAAATGGATTGAAATATAATTTTGTTATAAAAAACATACTCCTCTGACGGTCAACAGACCATTTAGCACGTCTGATTTTCGGTTTTAAATCCAAAAATATTATTTTGTAATTTATATTATGTAATTTTGATAAATAAAAAGACTTTTTCTTCTTCTTCCAATAGGCAAGTGAAAGTAAAAAGGTTAAATAACGAAGACCCCCGAGGCGTCTGAAAAGAAGATGGCGTAGTGATCTCCTTATGTAGACCTATTATTAGAGTTCTACCTGTGAGTAGTTTCTCAACAAGTGTTCTCAAGTGATTATATTCTAGTGTACACATTTACTTCATGTATTTATATTGTAATGCAGTTGTAAATATCTTGAATGAATAGTTAAAAGGAAGACCTGCAAAGTGGGTCGAAACGTCTGCAAAAATTAAATAATTCTACTTGTTTAATTTATTATTAATTGACCGCACCTCCCCCCCCCCCGATCAACTCCTCATATAATATATGAACGGTCAACCATCTCTACATCATTACACATTATGTAGTTGACGTAGATACACTCTTTCTCTATGAGGAAGAATACAAAGTGCTATTAAAGATAATAACAAAGGACCTTAACGAGGTTCGTAATCAGCTGTTTAATAAGCTACGATGCTACGGCCACTTGGATAATTTGCGGTTATTAATTCCCAACAGGAAGGCACTGGCTGGCCACTGGATCATTGAGTACGAAAATTACGGCGGTTCACTTCCTTCTCCTCTTAATACTTATCTTCACTGATATTCTCTTCAGGGATATCTTCCTCGATGATAAAGAAGGTTTTGTCTTCCTTTCTGGTATTTAAATCGTTTTCCCACATAGATTTGATCAGTAAAGATTAAAACGGTGCATGACATTAAGGAAATCCTAATATTTTTATTTTTTTAAATTAATTCAAGTGACTAAATGTAAAACCTAGATCATTGCTAACTATCAGATTGGATATTGAGATTATCTCGAACAATTATCTGATAATAGATACGAGAGATTGTGAGAACAATAATGTAGATACGTCATACGATGTTTAATTATAAGTTCTGATTAATTATATTATTGCATTTTGTTATCATTAAGAGCTTGTGGCGCTACAGAGGAATGTTTTTAAGGTAATTTTTCGGCTTTCTGGTTTATGAATTAATGAAGCTGCAATAACTGAGGACTTTTACCTTTGAATCGTCCTTCGATGGTGAGAAAGTAAAAAAAGGTTAGGAAATACCTGCCTTCTGAATTGTTGAATTAAAATCAGAAATTAATATAAGTTATTAATTAATATAATATATACAACGTATTTCAAATTCTTCAGGCGTCACTCAAGGAAGATAACGTGGGTTTATTGCAAAAAGCGCATCTTTTATTTAGGCGATCTTTCAAATTTCGACCTCATTTACCTATACTAAATCACCGCAATTGTATGAAAATGGCTCACAGATTTTTATTTATCTTATATAGTATTTAGGATAAGGGTATAATTTTCTGATCACGAATAAAAAAAAAAAAATATCAGGTGTGTCTACTCACACGACTTTCCTACCTATTTCAAAAAAGTTTTTATATCATTACATATGTTCATGAAGAAACAAAAAAGAATTGAACTAGACACATTTTCTGGAAAATTGATCAAACATAAGATTTGATTACGATTAACATCAGTGTAAAAATTTCAACACTCACTAATATTGCTGATCAAAAACTTTTTGCCATAGCTTAGTATTGTCAAACAATAATTTCTGTTAAAAGTAGAAGAAATAGTGAAGATTGTGTGATGCAGGCAACAGATTTTCTCAGGGGGCTCTGAAACGTATAGATCCGTCGAAAACCGCATGTCCAAAATTTGACCCGATTGCAATAATTTCCTTACGTAGTATGGTAGGAAATTAATAAGTTAAAAATGTGTAAAAAAATAGAATAAGCTGTATCATCGCTAATACTAGTTCGATTCCGATGATTTTTTTTTGTTTGTTTTGTTGGTAATTTAATTACCTTTCAAAAGTTTTATTATAAATTTTACCGCATAATATATACTTAGGGAGTTAGGGCCCATAACATTTTTCCTTTCTTTATAAATTTTTTTCCTGATTTTTTTCAGGAATTTAGTCTATATACGAAAATTGAAAGAACAATGATTAGAAAAATATAGGCAAGTTTCATCAAAATCGTTAGAGCCGTTTTTGCGCTACAGTCAATAGAAAACATGTTTTTCATTTATTGCGCGCAAGCTATTGCTCATGGAGCACCGAATTTCTGTCCCAGGCACCAGTAGTCAAAATCATACAAAATAAAAAAAGAAGCAACAAAATCGGTTCAGTAGTTCCCGAGAAAATCTTGGCACAGACAGACCAATGGCTAAAAATGTGTTTTTCGGACTCAGGAGGCTCTGAAACGTCGAAAACCGCATGTCGGAAATTTGACTCGATTGCAATACTTTCCTTACCTTGTATAGGTAGGAAAGTAAAAAAAAAGCTATGTGCTTTAGACTACACGCTAGAGGTGAAAACAAGGCAAGATTAATAATAAGAGATATAAATTATGAATAATAGTTCATTGTAAGGATGATGAATTGTTGAACATTTCCCTAGCTTACAGTATGCAGGTCCGAATTTTAGTTTCTGAGATATTTTAATCCATATCTTCAATAAAATTCGTTATCATTTGGTTTTAGAAACAATTTTTTACTTTTTCGCCTCTCTAACACGGTCTCTCGTTAAGATACAACCTTAAATAATACTTCATTACAAAGAGAGTGAAATGCTAAACAATTCCCTCACTTACAGTATGCAGGTCCGCGATATTTGGTTTTTGAGATATTTTAATCCGTAGGCGAAAACAATTAGTCGACTCCAGCCGACTTTACCCGAGCGTTACACATCGGAGATATGACGGCGCAATCTAATTCACTTCCACAAAAAAAGTACAAAACGCACCTGATGAAGTTTTCAATTAAAAAATCATCAAAATTCTTAACTATTTGATGTTATTAAATGTGACTTAATGACTTGTTGTAATAAACTGACAATATAAAACAATTAGGATGGTAACTGTCACCCATTGAAAAAAAATCGATAATGTTTAATTTTCGAATATTTATTAAAAAACGATTAGCGAAATGTTAATAAATGCACGAAATATTGTTTATCTGTAAGCAGCCAATAAAATTTAAACAAATGAAAATCTGATAAGAACGCAAAATTTTTTTTTGCTTTATTAATTTCCTGTCTGAAATCTCTATGTTAAAAAAGCAAATAAGAGAAATCGAACCAAGATTAAAATATTTTAAAAGATAAAAATGTACTAGATGTATTTCTTTAATGTGGTTGTAAATATTAAAAATAAAAAACAAATAAAATAAAATGTGTGTGCCATTTATAACCGGT